CCCCAGCCAGCCATGGCTGGCTGGGGAATTCTGGAAGTTGAAGTCCACACATCTTCAAGTTCCCCAGGTTGAGAAACACTGAGTTAAATCAAAAACCTCCAGGTCCAAGAGTTGCTATGGAAGGATAATTCTTGCTGCAACTCAATCCTATGCCTCTTTACTTAGAAGCCAATGGGCTGGAGTCTGGAGTAAGGGCACCCAGGAAGGATAAAATTTTCCCCACTCACACTCAACTCCTGGGGACTGGACGGAGCCTCCAAGGAACTGTCTTGGTAGTAAAATGGATTTGCAATTTTCTTCTTCTGGGATGTTTCTTCAAATTCCCAAGCCCTGGGGTTTCCTGGTGGTCTCCAATCCAGCTGGCGATCAGGTCCAGCTGTTAGGAGTTCCACAGGCAGAGCTTTAATTGCCCTGCAGCAGCTCCCTCTTGACTTTTTTGACCAACCCTGGACTGTGAACCTATAACAAAAGTTCAGAATCCAGAGAAGAGTTGAGCAAGATTTCTTGGGGGTCAAAATTTGAGTTTTGTGGCTTTAAGTTTTAGCTCCCCTTTCTTTATCAGTCTCTCAATGTAATCTGCCCCCTTCTTCCAAATGAGGTTTCACTGAGATGGCCCAGAGGGCCTTTTGTGGCAACATAGATATGACCACAAATCTTCTTCTAAACAGGAGGGGTCTACTGTGTTGCAACCAGAAAAGGCAAGTATAAAGTTCTGGAAAGCCAATTTGTCAGCTGCTGGTTATTTTCATTTTGTCTTGTTCATTTGCTTCTGTTTCTATCACTAAATGTGTAGTTCAAACTATGGAATTTACATGCATTTAATAAATCAGGGTATTATACACTTACTTGGGAAACAAACACGGTAAAGGAATATGCTGCAGGATATTTACTTTATTCTAAGGAGTTAAACCTTAGAATGCCTACGTTGATTTAACTCTCTTCCCAGATTACTGGACTGCCAATAACCCTTCCCACAACTGGAGTATTTTCCAGCAATTGCTGCAATATAAGAAACTGATTTTTTAAAAAAGGCCTGAAGAAATAAAAAGCCCATTCTCTGCTTTTTCTTGCTTTTGTGCATTCTCCATTACAGAACATTGATCCCCAAGCTGCAGCCACAAGAAAAACTGTTCAGAAGAACTTACTTGACCAGTGTTTCTCAACCATGACCACTTTAAGGTGTGTGGACTTCAACTCCCAGAGTTCCCCAGCTAGCATGGGGCTGGGGAATTCTGGGAGTTGAAGTCCACACATGTTAAAAAGTTGAAAAACACTGTGCTAGACTCTTCAGCACCTGCTGGTTCAACGCAACATGATCTGGCATGGCGAAAACATTTCCACTCTTCCTCTACTTGTTCAGCTCTTATGCAACCTTTGCACCAGGGCAAATCAACTATCCACAAGTCTCCTATATGAGAGCCAATTTAATTAAAGGTGCTAGCCTAGAAACCAGGAGACCAGGAGTTCTTGTCCTGCCTTAGGCACAAAGCCAGCTGGGTGACCTTGGGCCAGTCGCTCTCTCTCAGCCCTAGGAAGAGGGCCAGGGCAAACCACCTCCGAAGATCTTGCCAAGAAAACTGCAGGGACTTGCCAGTGTGGTTGCCAGGAGTCAAGATAATCTAGTGCTACAATCTCATAAATACCTTGCGACTGACTGGAAGCCACCAAAGCCCTCGTCTGCAAATGGAAATCAAGTGACCCTCCCTGAGCTGCAACGTTGACCTGGCTATTTTCCCTTAGAGCAATTCTCTAACGTAAGCAGGATAGAAAAGACCTACACTGTGGAATTGTGACATCCTACTCTCTCACAATCCTTCCTGCAACACGGGGAGAAAAGCATCAGATAACAAAAGCATTGTAATTTGGACAGCAAAGATTGTCACAAGCTGTTCAGAGATGACACACAATACTAAGCGTAGACAGCACTGCAAAGACTTCCATAAGCCGCCCGCCTCCAGGCTACGGGAATGCCTGGCTGGCAACACGTTTTATTCATTAAATACGCCCTGTTTTGAATACTATCTCTGAAGGTGGCATGAAACAAGTTTATATCATTAATAGGAAAAACTCTCCCTAAAGCTATGTTCAGATCGGGAGAGGAAAGGAATTCCCTTTCAGTGATACAAAACCTGTATCGAAGAGATCCACAGATAACTAAGAAGGATTTCATTAGCTCTCTGCAATGTCAACATGGATTATTTTGGATTATTCGGTATTTCATCTTTAGCAATAACTACATTTCCTAGCCTTATTCTTTACTTTGACAGAATGACAGAACATCTGAGTACAGGAATACACCCAATGTACTTTAATTTTAAAAAAAATCTTATTTATCTGTTTGATATACGTGTAAGACTTCCGCTTCCTCTTTACAACCACCCAGAGACATAAGCCACGTAGTACAGTAGTCCGAGTATAAAATACAGTACTTCCTTAGAAATGTTTGGAGATACCAAGTTTAGGATGAAGAATAAAGCCCTGAATATATTCACACCACAGTTTCTCAGCTATTTGTAACTCAACATCTGAATTTCAGATAAAAGAGGTTGAATGAGGAACCTGTTGACTGACCTAACAATCTCAACAGGTGTTTCAACTGTGCTTCAGCTTACAGGGTTCGGCAGGTTCACCAACAATGGACGGATTGGGGACAAGGTTGTCTGTTAACTTGAGCAGAAGTCACCCTCACAGGTAGGAAAGGAACAAGTGAAATCAGAGCACCCGCATGATGGAGCTACCATGTTGGGTCAAGGTGAAACTTTTGAGTATTTGGCACTGGTCCTAAAAAACAAATGGCAATCCCATGATGGAAGATGATATTTCTTTGATATCAGACTGGGCACATCAGTAGATCTAGGTAGAATGGTTTGGCATGCTTAACAGATCATGCCAAGTTAGGGCCAAACTAGTCACAATATGGCTTAGTGCAATCTGTGAACCCAACCTCTGCATAGAGATCTGTCTTCATTCACACATGGATAGAAAAACACCTTGAATTATACATATAAAAACATACATCTTATTAGAACAAGGCAGCCTTGTTACTAATTAGCACTTTCTATTAAACTACAATGAAAGACCTTCTGTCTCTTCTTACTTGGCCCTTTGAGCCAAGAGCAGATGCATTCAAAGAATAAAAACAGTAATTGCCTAACACGTTTTTTTGACAACCTTCTCCAACTTGTTGCACTCCAGGTGTACTGGGCTCCAATTTCTATCCCCAGACAGGCCTCAGGATGATGGGAGCAAGAGTCTAAATAGTCAGATGGCACCAGGTTGTAGAAAGTCTGATACTAGGACTCCCTTCTACCTTGAGGATCTAGTATTCAACCACGCAGGGAACTAACTACAGATCCCCTTAGCTTTAGCAACTTTGCACCAACAACTCTCTGAACCCAAGCGGTTCCCTTTTGTGCAGTGAGATTGTTTTGTCCCTGCTACGTCTATTTTCCCAATGCGTTTTACTGGACCTCTAGCCTATTTCACGCCAATGTTACCCCAGTTATGGTGCAATTCCTGCCAGACAGACTTGATGAAAGGTGATACTTAAACCGAACCAATTAGGTTTTTTGTTCCCTTTTAACAAATTCCAAATCTCTTTTTGGCTGAAAAGGAATAATCAGGCAGCCACCTCTGTTTTCCTTCTCTCCGTGTCTCTCGTATCCATTCAAAGTAATGGGAGGAGAGATATTTCTGCCTTTCTGTTCTGTCCGCTTTCCAACAAGTGTGATCAGAAGAACTTGGAGTGGAGTCACTGTCTTCAGGAACTGTGTTTCTGCCGCTTCCAGAAGCGTTTGACGTCTGAATGGCCAGCGGGGGTCACCACCATGAGACGTTTGGTTGGGTTCTCAAAAATGAGCACCCCAAGTTCCCTGGCATGGTCACGTAGCAGCTCAAAGTCCACCTGGGATAAGAACTGGTTGTATAGGACACCTGTGGGAAAGAGTTGGAGAAAAATATGAACAGGAAGCAATGCAAGAAGAAGCTGATGGGGAAGCAGAAAGAGACGGGTCTGGAAAAGCGCCGGATGCTGCAGCGTGTGGCAGGAAAGGAATAAGGACAGCGGAAATGGGCATACAAAGAATGGGATCTGAAATCTGACCAGGAAGACTAAGGGGCTAAGGCTAAAGAAAGCAGAGAGGAAAGTGAGCGAGAACTGGAGCCAATGTCCCAACCCGGTGCCTCTCAGATATGTTGGACTAAAGTTAGATGAATCCCCAGACAGCCCAGCTCATGGCCACACTGGCTGAGAATTATTGGAATTTAGTAAATTGGGAGTGGACACCAGGCTGGGGAAGATGCCAAGCTATAATTGACCTAGTCTGACGTTCCATTAGATCAGTGTTTTTCAACCTTGGCAACTTGAAGATGTCTGGACTTCAACTCCCAGAATTGAGTTGAGCTGGCTGGGGAATTCTGGGAGTTGAAGTCCAGACATCTCAAGTTGCCGAGGTTGAGAAACACTGCATTTGATTCTTCTTATGATTATTTCTTCCTCTCCTGACCACCTGCCCAATCTCTCATGGATGCTCACCCTCAGAGAAGCGCAGCCTGTCCCGTTCCAGCTCCCATAACCGGATCTGATCTGTGATTGTGGGGGGTAGCACAGGGGTCTGTGGGGAGGAGAGTGGAAAAGTTAGAGATAGCAAAATACCTATTTTCTAAAGAGCAGGAAAACAATCTCCCCATTGCATTTTCCTCTAGAATCAACCTACCCCTACTTTCACCGAACATTTTAATCTGTATTCCACATTTTGGATCAGGGCTAACCCCAGTATTAAGCTTTCTCAACAGAAGGCTTAGCAACCTTCTTTTTTGCATAATTTCATAGGATGGTTCAGGTACCCACAACTTTCAACTTCTTTAACTGAAACAGGACAAATACATATTTAAAAACGTGATTTTGGGGTTCCAGGGATACCATCTGGGGGTGTCTTGGGTGCTGCGTTACTTAAGCTAGCATGAGATGTTGCACCAGCTTTATTAAACAGCATTCAACTATTAAAAAAGGTAACACTTTTCTTGGATGTCCTAATCTGCCTGGCCCCCTCCCTTCATCTCCTGCAGCAATTTTCTCACCTGTTTCAGCATCACAGCATGAGCTCTTGTCCGTAGGAAGTGAATGATCTGTAACAAAAGAGGGCCCTGAGACAATGAACCTTGGCACATTTCGTTCGGGATTCAGTCATGGAAGTCTTAGCCCCCAACCCACCCAGCCAAAAGAAGCAGAGTCCAGCTCCAACACCCCCTTTCAACCTCTCCTCACCTGATCAGCCGTGATGCCATTGGCAATGGCCTGCTGTGTGCTCTCCCGGGTGACTTGCGCCACCACCAGGTTAGGGAAGCGATACAGCATCTCAGAGAAGAGGGCAATTAGTGCAATCTGGAGTTCTGAATCTGGAAGCAAGAGCAGAGAGGGGGAAACACAACACTTTAAGATGACCAAGGTGCCTCCCCCAATCTAGTATCCTTTAGATCAGTGTTTCTCAACCTTGGCGGCTTTAAGATGTGTGGACTTCAACTCCCAGAATTCTGGGCTGGCTGGGGAATCCAAGGCCTGCTGGGGGATTTTTGGGGGTGTAGTTCACACATCCTTAAAACGCCCAAGGTGAGAAACACTGCTTTAGATAGATTGAACCACAATTCCCATCATTCCCAGCCAGCCCAGAAT